TAGAGGCTGATGTCAGGAAATCTAGCTTTGAGTGAAAAGGACGCTATAATAGTTCAGCTGCAGGGTCTGCCTCAGTTTACCTGGTGAACCAGCACAAGCTGATCCAATGAACTTGCGCCTTCTGGGCATCAGTCAGAGGCCAGTGATTTGTAGGGTTTGTTGGGCAGCAGAACAGGATGAATTTAAATCCTGCCTCTTGATAAATTGGTACTTAAGGCTTGTCATGAGTAGTACAAGATGGCTGTGGTCCCTCTTAGTTTTGTTTTGTTCAGGTAACGACACTGTCCCCCTAACTGTTTTAAGCAGCAGTGGCCTGTTAGTGTCCCTGCTCTGTGCGGGCTGATTTCTCCTTGACAGAGAAAAAAGGGAATGAGTGGGCAAGCATAATTACAGCCTGATGGGGGCTCAGGATCAGACCTGGAACATGAAATCAGTTTGAACTGCGATTTTGAATTACTGATGTTGCAGGTTGTTCCATTAACTCTTATAAAAGAAAAAGGTGTTTATTTTCAACAGTGAGTTGGTGGTAGTGAAATCAAAGGCTTGCTTTTTGTTTGTTTGGTTTTTAATAGTCAGAGCTTGAAGCATATGTGAATACATCTATTGTGTCAATTTTGATGGTAGGGAAATTGTCCTTTTGCTGCAGTGTCACAAAAGAAGAAAAACAAGCCACCTCTGCAGCCGGTGATAATTCCAGTGCAGCAAATGCAAATGTGTGCGACTGCACATCTGTAGGAAGCTGCTGACAATTGTTGCTGTTTTACTGTATGAGGGTGATGTGGAAAACCTTGGACGATTCCGTAACATGCTGTATGCCAATAATGGGGTATTACTTCATTTCCCCCTTAGACAATGTGTGAACTTAATTGTACAGAGCTTTTGGGGTTTTGCCTATTCTCTGTATCATCTTCTATTTATAGTTTTCATTAGCTGTTGTTTCAGACTGGCTGATAAGACTGCTGTGGCTGTGGAATAGTGTAATTTTTAATTTGCCATCCTTGTGGCCAAAAGGGACAAGAAGATTTTAGATTCAACTGGCCTAGCTGGATGGCAATCCCAGGCATTGCAAATAGTAGATACAACAGTCTGTGTTTTAAAAGGCTACGTGTAATGTGGGAGCATATGTGTAAAAGCATTTTACAGATGTAGCATGCCCAACACTTTTCCCGAGCATGTTGTCCAACATAAAACAGATCAAGCTGTGAAGGATTACTGAATAATCTTTATTTTTCTGAGAATGGAAGTGTGTTGAAAGTGTTCTCACTCCACTGAATTAAGGCCTAGATATGAGACCAAAGTGAGGATGAGCAGATTTGACAAATGACTAGAGAGAGGGGAGATGTTCTGAAATGCTGCCGATGTTTGCCTTAGGGATAAGAAAGGTAAATTTGGGAGAAGACTCAAGTGGTAAGTGGGTGTGGGTGGGAGAGATCAGGGAATGTTTGAGGAAGAATCTGATTTGCAGACTGCAAGTGTTAGAAGAATTTTGGTTTTTTTGCTGAGCTAATTTGTTGCTATATTAATAATTTGCAGCTGTAATCTTTAAACAACACTTGTTTTTCTTGATGTCAAGAGAATGAGATGTTGCAGTCACAAAAGCAAGGTATTAGGTAAATCAAGGGAGTACCACTTATATTTTTAGGTTGGTTTTTTATGAATTATATACTATTATATATTAAACAATTTATTATTGTTTTTTATGTTGTTTATGAATTTCCAGTTTGAAATTACAGCACAGTTCAAATAGAGCCTCACAGCAGTACCCCCATCCACCTTCCCCCATTCAGCAGTCTTCATTTGAAAATCACTAAATGTGTCCTTTTAAAGGAGACAGCCCATTCTGGTTCTTTCCTTGAACATAATTTCCTGTTTGCCGCTGTTTATTTACTCTTTCTCACCAGCACAGCTGTGGTTTCAATCATTACTGATCTCTCAGGCACTGGGAGCATGTTTTGGTCCCATCCCTCTCTTAGTTCTGGTTCTTGAGAAACGTTCGTCTTTTTGAAGGTGCATGAATACGTGTATAGGTGGAAGCTGCTTACTTGTATGTACTGTTCTCCAAATTGTGGTGAGCACGCTGTCACCAGCACTGATGGGAAAAGATTTACAGCTGCAAGGCATCTTTGAATATATGGCAAATAACAAATACTTGGACATGGATTTGGATTGCGTTTCTGAGCTTAGTGACATGTTGCTAAAAATCTTGACTGAAGTTTAGTCTTGCAGTGTAGGAAGGGTTTGATTTTTATTTTTTTTTTCTGTGTACTGTGCTGATTTTTGAGGTTTTTTTTTAAAAGCTACTTTTAAAATCAGTATTTGGTATTTTGAAAGTGCTGTATATATTGATCTTCTATTAAATTCTTCTAGTAGATTGAATTCAATTATTGATTAAATTAAGTCTAATTGTTTAATGTATGTTTAAACATTGTTGGCTTTTCTTAACAGTGCTTTTTTCCCCCACTTGTTACCTTAGATAGGCAACCAAATTATCCCATAAGCTTGCTGGGTTTTCCTTTGTTGTTAGCTAAACCAGAGCAGGGATTATGACTGGATCCCACCAAAGTGGGGTCTAACAACATTGGTATGGCAGAATACTCTTGAATCATACATCAGTGTATGAGGTAAGCTTTAATGTTTTGCAAAGGCTAAGCTATTGCCAATGATTTTGAGAATTCAGTGTTAAACAAGATGTCTCGGCATATTGTCCAATTTTTTCATCACCTATGTTTCTAATATTTTCTAGCTTGCAAGTTAATGGAAATATTTTAACCATAGTATGATGTTAAATTATTGTGGAAAAAAGCTGAAAATTAACCTTTGACCATAAAATTGAACTTTTCAAATATATTGATAAATTAATATTTGTATACAACTTTCTGCTCCTGCTTTTAGTAGTAGATACAGTGTCTTTGTGCACCTCTTCTGCAAAACGTGCCTCTGAGCTTGGGAATAGATGATTCTTCTTGATGGGTTTGGCTGCTCTTGGTCTTGAAATTCCCAAGCAGTGATGCGTGAAATGTGGTAGGTGGTATGTAATTTCACAATGGTAGATGAGGTATGCTACTTAGAAGTTAAATTTTAGATTGAACTTGCCCATATTAGGATTTTTATGTTGGCTTTTTCTTTTTTTTGGCTACAAACCCAATATTTAATAAGTTTCATACTTGAGAAGGACTTCATTTTGGAAGGCTGAAAAAAAATGGAGCAGTAGTTGATGTATGGGAAGTAATTAGGTCACTGAAACAAGACTGGTACTTTAAAGAATTTGTCTTAATGGAATGCAGAAGTTGAAGTAATACCTCTGAAAAGATTTTGTGAATGTTTAAAATCTTTTTGGTGATTCAGAGAGGTGAACTTTTAAGAATAAAAGTATTTTTCTCTACAGAAATATTTGTCCAGTGTTTTTGTTTAAAATAAATGCTCCTTTGTTTGTTTAGCAGAGTTGACTCAGCTTTGGTTGGTTACCGTAGTTCAGCAAAGGTTTTGCATTTCCATGTGAATTTCTAGTAATTCCCAGGCTTGGTTCAGGTTTTGGGGATCTTCTTGTATCACTTCCGTTAGCTGCCTGTGGAGCTGCGCTTCTCTTCGTTGAATTTGGAAAAACATCAAACACAACTTAAGTCTTGATCTAATATCCCTCAAATGTCACTTACTGCTCAAAAAATCAAATAACATGTAGTAATGCAGTGGCTGTGGACAGAAGCAAGAGATAACTAATTTAAAATGAGTAAAGCCTTTTATCTGATGGATAGCTACTATGGCAAGTTAACGCTGATTGTATAAGATAATAGCTGTTCAAAGGCATTTTGAAAAAAAAAAAGAAGAAATATTTAGAATTAAAATATGTTGCAGTGATAGGGGGAGCAAGGACAGCCTCACAGCATTTCGTAGCTGAGAGGTTACAGCTGACTGGTAAAGTTCAGCTGTTGTTCTGTGTAGCTGTAGCTGTGCAGTAGCTGGTCCTTGGTTTGTGTTGTCAGCAAAGTTGTTCTCTCACCTCTGCTTCCCAGTTTGTGGGCCGCCACTGCTAATATGTTCATTTTTCAGTCTCGTCAGGAAAGCTGAAAGCAGTCACTGTGTGCCTGGAGTTCTTGAGGAGCTCAGTTAATCTTCTCTAACATTTGGATTGGAAGGATAAAAGGCTGGGAGGATCAAATAGGTGTTGAGTTTTGGCCTGACCTTGACGACTTTGTCTGAATTACTTCCTTTATCAGATTTGATTATTTGTTTGATCCTGGTCCCCTGTTTAAGGCCGGCTTCTGCCTTTTGCTGCTCCAGTTCTATAGATGCGGTCTTTCCACTTGTCAGCTGGATTGTTGTTGCCCTATGAAAATGCTCCCTTAAGCAATAAAATTACAAATAAATCCATAACTTGATTGAGTCTGGTTAGGAAGTGAAGTAATTTGGTAGCCTCACGTTGCCAGGAGCAGTTCTATACTGGAATATAGGCACTCTAGAGTACAGGGTTCATTGATTAAAATAGAAAAGTGTAGGTTTTGTCTCTGAGTTGGTTCACTTAGTTGGTTTCAGTTTAAAAGTTGATGGAGTTGGAGAAGTACAAGTAAGGGTGAGAAAGAAATTCAGATTCGGGTATTGGCAAGTTTAAACCCTAATTTGATACGCTGGAGATCTTGATGAAACTTTTGATAAAACTTGGGTTTGCGTACACTTGAACACTGTGTTGAAGTCGTCCAAAACATCTGGATGTGGTGCCCACTGGAATCTTCATTTGGGTTTCTTGCAGTTTCATATTTAATGTATAGTGGACCAGAAAGCATTGCTGACTGTTAGAAGTTAAATTTTTGGAATTGTGTGGACTACCTGGGTAGACAGAATGACTTTGAGAATGTTCCTTGGAAAAATAATTTTGAAGTAGTGTCATTTGATGAGTTTTTAACTTGTATTTCTTAAATAGTATTACTGAATAATGCCTGTGAATAATCAGAATAATTTTGAGCTAACTTTTTGTTTTATTCTTGTTTGCTTCTTGGCAGGAGAAAATGGCCAAAATGGAGGTCAAGACGTCACTTTTAGACAACATGATAGGAGTGGGAGATATGGTTCTTTTAGAGCCACTTAATGAAGATTCGTTCATCAATAATCTGAAAAAGCGCTTTGATCACAATGAAGTATATGTGAGTATATGTTAACAAATAACATCCTAGGAGGAGCTATGTTGTCATTCGTAAAATATGTGTTTATTTATAAGGATACACATAGACTGAATGCCTGAACATAATCTATTGTATTAGGGGTATTTTAAACCTTACTTGTGCTGTAGTCTTTCCTGTACTGCATTGTTTGCATTTGATCTTTTCCATCTGGGATATTTTTCCTTTTTCTTTTTTCCCATTCCACAACATGACGGACCTCTGATTTTCATAAAAAAAACAGTTCCAGAACTGATGATGACAGTAACTTTGATGCTCCTGCTGTCAGAGGACATTGCAGTTATAAATAATTCACTTACAGGGAAGGCACTTCCTGGATATTAGAGCAGGTTGATGTAGAAACAATACATGCTTGGAATATGCTAGGGCTAGCTTAAATGTTGCTTGCTATCTTTGATTTGCAAAAACGTTGTGTTTATTAGAATGGTTGGATTTTAAACGAGAAACAATGAGCTTGAATATATGTGGAAGTAATCAAAATCTTCAGGCATATTAATCTCTGATTGATGATCAACAGGAGAGATGTTGTGAACCGACAGTTGAAACACAGGCAGGGAATGAAGGGAAAATTGTGATTCCAGTTAAGCCTTTCATTTCCTGCTTCATCTCTCTTCCATTTTTGTTAAAATACGCACAGTATTGTATCTGTTGTACTGCTGAGGCTGTGTGAACATAATGATTTGCAGAGACTTTCCAAGAGTGCTGGTGAAAGATAAGTTTTTTAAGAGTAAATCTGGAATATTTAAGCCAAAGTGTAACTATGATCTGCAAGCAATTGTGTCTGCAGCTTATTACAATCAAATAGATGTGTTCTGTACTTAATTATAACTTAGCCCTCCCCCCCTTTTAATTTGTAGTGTGACTGTTGTTCCTTCTTGCTAAGCATTTGAATCTCTGTGGTTTCATTATAACCTTTCCTTTCCAACCTCCAGTATGGGAGGATCTGTGTTATTTTTGTTTGCTTCTATCCCTTAGTTATAGTCTGTGCTTTTGTACCTCTGCTGTTCATTGTCTGCCACATCTTTCTTCCAGAGTAATCTTCCTACTCAACTATGCCTGTTCCTTTTTCTGTAGGCATTAGCTTGGTAATATACAGTTGCACCTGTCTGCTATTGTATCACCTCCACCTATTCGCTCCTTAAGTTCAGACTGACAATTTAAATTAACCAGAAAATTAAAATAAGACAAGTACTCTCAGGATCCATTAAAACCTTATTGGAGAAGAAACCAAAATGATTTTGGATGGAAAGACTTGGAAAGACTTCTTCCACAATGGTTAAAAAAATCTTCCTGATGCCTTTGAGAGTTACATTTCCGAAAATTTGTGTCTTTGATTTTCCTTGTTCCTTGAAGGTATAGTCTATTCCCTCTTGATAACTGTTAGAGGTTGATACAGGCAGGCAGATATCAGACTCTTCTTTGCTGCTTTTTCATCCAGATTCTGGCAAGTCCTCCATGTTCAACAGCTGCAGTGGCTGCCTCTTCTGGGACTCAGAGGTTTTTTTCAGTCAGTAGCTTGTATAATTAATGTTTTTCATGTCAGTTCTAGGGTTAAATCTATGTTCCTAATACCTACAGAAAAAGTGGATGATACTGAATCATCTCATTCCACTTTAGCTTAAGAAAATATGAAGGATAAGAGAAGAAGAGGGAGCTATTTGCCTAGAGATTGAAGAAGGCAGTACTACCTTGCCCAATCTTTGGGTCATATCTGAAAGTTTTATTTAAAGCATTAAGGATAGAAATGTATTCTGTGAGGGTACCCTAGACTACACAGTCTCTTAAGAAGGATTGCTGTAAGTCACGTGGATTTCTCAAGTGTTTTGGTTTTCATTTTTTCTTCTGTTTGATTTGTTTTTACTGTAAATTACTATGGATTGCAAAGTATTTAATTAGATGTTTCTACTTAATTTAGACTGGATAGCTTTTTCTTGAAAGAAATCAGTTTGAATGACAGATGGGTAATGTGTTTTATTTTTATCTGCTATTACATGCTAGCTGACAACCATGTTCAAACACACAGTTCTTTGAGACAGTGACAGTGAAGCATGTATTTCCCCCAGTTTCGGATTCAGCTGGGCACTGACATGCAATGTAATTAGCTGTATTATGTGCTTTGGCAGGTGATACAAGGTGTCACTTTTCTCTAGCAATGTAGGATCCTTTGTCTTGCAGGTGGGAAAGCCTACTACTTAAACATGTTCTGCTGAGAAGTGTGAACTGCTGCCAAAACAGAAGTATTTTTTTGTTGGGTTTTGGTGTTTCCCCCTCCCCCCAGATTGTTCCCTTGTAGTTTGTTGCACTATCATTTACCCTTTTTATCTCCAGGTTTGTTTGATCCTGTGATTTATGTTTTTTTAAGGTCTTACAAGTACTGTTTGTGAAACCACACTATGAAGGCAAAATGTTGCAGATCTTTGCAAGTATCAAAACATTCACTACATCAGTGGTGGAAAGAATAGGTGTTTATGTCTCGGCCACATGCTGCTACCAAGTATACAAATTAGTTAGTTTGTGATGCTGCATGGTTTTATTTACCAAATCACCTGAGGAAATTACCTCCTTTCCGTATCAGTTGAGTTCTGCTGCCCTACAAGTTTCAGGCCACTGTTGCATGTTTTAGAAAACTTTTAAAACAGTAACAGTTGGTTGTTACCATGAGCACCATTCCACCTTAATTTTCAAGTGCAAACTCTTCTCTCCCTTCTCCTTCCTGGCACCCGCTCTCTTTTCCCCAAACTTCACTCATGAAAACTACACTTTGCGTTTCTGTTTTAGGCTCAGATGAGCACAATGAAGCCTTTGTTACATCTGGAAGTAATGTTGGTTTTACCACGTAAAATCAGTAGTTTGCGTGCTATCCTGGGGAACCCAAATCTGGCTATTAAAGAGCTACTGTTGGTGCTTAACAAAGACTGCAGATTTCTTCAGCTCTGACAAGTTACATACACAAGTTGACCTCTCAGGATCCTTTCAGAGGGCAGTAGGAGTGGATTTGTCCCTTCATGGCTGAGTTGTGGGATTAAGTTCAGCCTTCATGTTAGTGCTCCATTGTAGGCATTACCAAAAGTTGCATCCCAGTTTAAAAAACTAAGTCAAACTGAAGCCATATGAATGGTTTGAAATGTTTCTACAGCAGTAAACCAGGGCTTACTCAACATCAGTTTCTAAGCAGCTTCCTGTAGACTGATGGCTGTCTCTGTGCCACATGTTAGTTTTAAAATGGAGTTGCAGTTATAACCTTCAGAAGGGTTTGTTGTGAGGAATGAGACCTGTAGTATGGATAGCTTTGGAAATGGTGTAAAGTTGGCCAGACGTTGCAGAACTGTGCTAGCCAGTCTTGGTAGGTAAACCAACAAAGGGGGCTTATAAGAAAGATGTGGACAAACTTTTTAGTAGAGCCTATTGCGTTAGGACAAGGGATAATGGTTTTAAACTAAAAGAGGGTAGATTTAGACTACATATAAGGAAGAAATTTTTTTACAATGAGGGTGCTGAAACACTGGAACAGGTTGCCCAGAGAGGCGGTAGATGCCCCATCCCTGGAAATACTCAAGGTCAGGCTGGACAGGGCTCTGAGCAACCTGATCTATTTGAAGATGACCCTGGTCATTGCAGGGGGGTTAGACTAGGTAACCTTTAAAGGTCCCTTCCAACCCAAACTATTCTATTATTCTATGAAATGTGAGAGTCAGATTGAGCCGTCAGAGAACAGTGCCAAATCTCTCCGTGTAGCCAAAGATGACGAGATAAATGGGCTCATTCCACTGGAAGAGAATACAAGTTTTGTGTTTTCTAGTCTCTTTCACAATAGTTATATTTGATGCTGAATGTTTGATGTTGGAGATCCTAGTGCCAGCTCCATTTACCTCTTTGAAATTCCAGATCTTCTCTGTAAGAGCTCCCTTTGCAAGAGCATTCAGATCTGGATCCTCTGACGGTCCCTTTGTACCATCCTCGGTATGGTCACTGTAAGCCCTTCAAGAAAATTAGCTAAGTTTCATGCCATGGTGCAAACAGGGCAATAAGTGTACTCCTAACAGTTAGAGAACAGACTACTGCTTGATTACCTGTTGTTCAATTTTATGTGTATTTGATGGAAAATTTAATGGACTTGGGTGTTAGGTTGCATACCAGAGTGCAAAGCTGGAGGCTGTGCCTATAAAAATAAGCACGAAGGCTGGTGAAGCTGGAGTTATGCCAAATATTCTACTAAAGACCATCAGATTCTGCAGTAATCTCATGCTGAGTGGTTTTGGGGGGAAGGGCTCATTGGGTAACATGCATGTGTTAATTGGAAATGGGAATCTCGGAGTTTAGTCATGTCTGGAAATGTTGGGGGTATGTCTGACCAAGAAAAATCTCACTAGAAAGCTGTAATTGTTTATTATACTCTTTTTGCAACTCTTAAACTTTTCATTGATAAAATTTGCATTGCATTTTCGCAGAAGTTCTTTTCTGTAAATATTGGTAACAAAAGTCTGTGAGAATTTTTCTTCAACTTTACAGAGTAAAATGTGGCTCATGGGCAATGCAGTTAGCAAGTAGGAAAAAATACAATGTTGATTATTTGAAGGTTCTAGGGAGCAGTTTGTGCAGCTAAAATGTGCGACCTAGAGGCTGCATGGAAAACTTCAAATACATTCATAAAATCCAGTTTGTATGTGACTGACTAATTTTGACTCTTTCTGTTGAACTCCCTCCATGAACTTTTTATTTTTATTATTTTATTTTTTTTAAGTTGGCTGAAATATCCTCAACCAATCCAGCTCAGCAATTATTTTTCCTTTGTATTTTGGGATGTTGACAAATGGGAGGGGGGCATCTGTTTATATGTGTATTTACAGTGACTCCTGGATGGTAGATATTTGGGATAAATTGTAGTATATGTATCAGTCTGAAACTTATTTTTGTACTGGGTTTGTTGCTTTGTGAGGCATGTGGAAGCGGCAAGGGAGGCATGG